AGAACAAACGAGTCAGACGCGACAGGCTTCAGGGAGGAGGCAAAAGAGCGCATAGAAGAAAAGCACCGTCGCCGCTCGCTCCGGACCGCTGGAAACTCTCACATAGCACTACATATGGAGCAAATATTAGGTAGGGCCCAAGTCCATTGCTTGGCATAACGCCCATCGCTTCACATGCAGCAGCCGGATGCACGGGTAGCCTCTTACTCAGCAAAAAGCGAAACGACTGCGGTTGGTTGACGTTCGATGTTGTTGGGACCCTACCGGCGAAAGGCGAGAGAGAGAGAAAGAGAGGTAGACAAAAATACGAGAGCGGAGAGAAGACAAGGCATTGACTCTCTCGAGAAGAGAAGGCATTGACTCTGTCGAGAAGACACTCACTCTCGTCCCTCTGGCCCGCCGCAGGCTGTCAGACATGATGTCACGTTGTGTATCGAACGGCGATATCCGATGTCGGCTCAGCAACAGCAAACAAGCACAACAACAAACAAATATAGTCAGTCGCCGTGTGCGAGCTGTGGACTACTATCTTGTTGTAGGAAGTGAGAACTAAAAAGAGCACGACTACATAGCACCACGGACGAACTATTATCGCAATACGCTTGCCGTCCGCCATAGATGCGCACCGCTGCACGAACGAGCTGTTGGTTATCATACCTCACTACGTAGTATCTAAGATTGTGCTGCCATCTAGCTTACCTATCGCTCAAATTACGACTACGCAGCAGACTCAAGGCAAGGAAGCAACACGCGTGCCGATGCATACCAACCATGCATGCAGCAAAACAAAACAAGGCGGACCGTCTGTTGTTGTTTGTCTCTTCAACTGACTGTGCTGCCGACAACGACACTGGAAAAAAGTAGGAGACGCGCATCGCCTACGCGAGCAACGCGTGCAGCCCAAAAAAACAGAGACGATAACCTTACGACCTTTGCAGCACATTCCGAGCATATACTGCAGCAACCGCAAGTATGTGTACAGCAGCAGCCGCATGTTGTGTACAACAACGGTCACTCAGGAAGAAAATCACAACAACAAACAAACGCAAAAAAAAAAAGGTGGTGGCGCGCAGCACGCAGGACCCTCTTTCGCTTTGAACCGGCCATTCCCATGGCGAAACAGACAAGGTACAGCAGTGAAGGCCGACTCTTGCCGGCCCCAGGAGGCGGAAGCTGCTACAACTCGGGGACGGGTCATGATTTGCGATTGATTCCTCACCGAACGGATATCGAACGATGACACTACTGTTTCAACTAGCTTCAGAAAAGCTTCAAAATTAATTGTGAAACTTGCATAGATAGAGATGGCAAGTAAACACCCCGTTCCAAAGAATATCTGTCGTTGATTTTTATTGACTTGCGGACCTTTCGGGGCCAGTTTGTTTTAGCGTACCTCTTTAGGGTAAGTTAGCCTGTGACCACGGGAATCGACCGCGTCAAGTGTTGGATCAGTACGCACATATGAAGGTACTGGGTAGAGAGAGATCTGAACGGTTTTTAATGCGAAGACAACAACAACAACAACAACAACAACAACATTTAAAACTGAACTAATGGGTGGTGGGCGGATGACCGGCGGACCCCAAAAAGCAAGCGGAAAAATAAAATATAGACTATGTTAAGAAAAAAAAGAAAAAGAAGAAGGGACGACAAAGACAAGTGAGCCAGACGCGACAGGCTTCAGGGAGGTGGCAAAAGAGAGCATACGAAAACCACCGTCGCCGCTCTGAACCGCTGGAAGCTAGCTGTCACATAGCACAGCATGCAGCAAACATTATAGGGGCCATGCCCCCGTTGCTTCAAGTAAAGAGGCAGCGCCCATCGCCTCACATACAGCAGCCGGGTACGTACTACACAAATAGCCTCTTACTCAGCAAGAAGAAAAACGATTGCGGTTGACGTTCGATGTTGTTGGGACCCCAACGGCGATAATAGGCGAGAAGGAGAGACAGGTGCTACTACTACGTAGATCAACAGAAGAAAGCGTAGAGAAGGCATTAATTAACTCTCGAGACCCTAACCGAAGACACTCACTCTCGTCCCTGTGGCCCACCGCAGGCTGTAACGAACGACGACATCCGATGTGTGCTCAGCAACAACAAACGCAACAAACCAAATATAGTCGCCGTTTCCGAACTAACTGTGGAGACTCTCTTTCATCACTTGTGGTATGAAGTATGAAGTGACAACGAAATAGAAAATGATGACGAGAAGCACCACGGACGAACTATTTTCTCAATACGCTTGCCGTCGCGATAGACGCGCACCGTTCCACGAACGACCAGTTGTCAAACCTCACTACGCAAATAAGATTGTTGTCCTGCCATCTACCCCTTATCGCTCAAATTACGACTACGCAGCACACTAAAGGTAAGTAAGGCAGCAACACGCTTGCGATGCTTTACCACCCATCCATGCATGTAAGAGAAGAAAAAAAAAGGGTATGGCGGACCGTCTGTTGTCTGTATCTTCAACCGTGCTGCCGTTGCTTTTCTTCATGGATATCGGCACAGAGAAAAAATGAGGAATGCGCATCTCCTACGCGAGCACGGCGTGCAGCCCAAGCGACAGAGACGATAACCTTATGACCTTTGCAGCATCTTCCGAGCATAACAGCAGCCACCGCATGTGTACAACGGTCACTATAGACTAAGTAAGGAAGAAAATCACAAAATCACTGGTTATCGCCCCACAGCGAGCGATAGCTGCTCAAACGACTGTGAGAGGTCTTGAAATCGTCTCAGCTACCCAGAACTGCTGGTAGTTGCCGGAGATTTGCAGGTACGTACTGCTTTTGCCTACCACTCTCGTCCTCTCGTCCGCACATCAACAACAACAATAAATGCTAATTTTCGCACCACAAAAGAGCCATCCATGCAGAAAGTTGCAACAACAGAACAAAAGCAGCTCCTGCTGTATGTACACAGAATGTCCAGCTGTGTGCTGAGGTCGGTCAGCATCTCGAGAGAAGCGTAGCCAGCAAGCAAGGCTTGGCGCGGGACACGAGAGAAGCAAGCAAGGCTTGGGGCGGGCGGCGAAAAAAAGAAGACGACTCTATATAAAAAGATCTGTAAAAAGAAGGGTTGGCGCGGGCGGCGAAAAAAATGAAGACGACTCTTATACAAAAAGATCTATAAAAAGAGGACCCTCAACGACAAGTCAACCAATCTGGTCGTTCCGATGTGACGATGTAACGCAGATCTTCTTGTCGACGGAGAAACTGGTTATCGCCCCACAGCAAGCGATAGATGCTCAAACGACTGTGAGAGGTCTTGAAATCGTCTCAGCTACCCAGAACTGCTGGTAGTTTTCGGAGGTTCGCAGTGTGGGCTGAGATCGGCCTTTTCGACCCGGTCGGGCAAGGGGTCCGCTATGCTACTGAAAACTCCACAGACGGAAAAAAAAGACTTTTGATCGACTGAGACCCAAGCTAGAGCTTGGGAATAACGAACGGTGGATGTAAGGAGTCCGTTCGACCGGTAATAATGAGGATTTCAGAATTTAATAAGTCGAGCAAACATCGCCACGGCCTTTCTTTGTGACGAAAAACTGATAGAAAACCCAATTTTTTTTTCCCAGCTGCCAACGCATGCATTCTCTCGGAGCGACAGATCACGTCGTGGGGTGCTCTCGAAGCTCTTTACGGAGATGAAAACAAATGCAGCAGATAGATTTTACACAGGCCTACTGGTTGGTGTAGAAGGCAACACGGCGACCATCCTCATTCAGATATTGCTACGGGAGGAGATGAGGGGTTGACGGCGGCATCTTCTGCCTGTTGTTGTCGCAGTTAGCCTAGAGGGTTGATGGAGTTTGTGCATCACGACGGTTGTGCGGCATGCAACAGACTGACTGACCTCAATGGAGCAACCAGGCGTTGGCTGGAGCAACTACAGGTCCTATGAAGCTCTGTCCCCTTCCGCCCTTAGACAAAGAGATGGAGCAGCTTGGTGGAGAGTGGGGTGGTAGCAGTCCAGAGTTCACGTAGATGTGATGACGCGTTCGTTCGGAAGCGCTACTTGGTCTCTAATGGGTGCAACTGCACCAATGTTCGTGAACTCATACTCTTTGTCGGTAAAATAGCGGCCTCTGGTGGTCTCCCCCTTCGTCTGATCTCCTCAATCGGAGACTACAGGCTTCATCCCGTCTCCTTCATCGGAGGCTATGAGATACACTTGGCGCCCGCTCACAAATACTCTAGATGGTGCTCAATATTCTGAGTGCTTCGTTTCGCATGTTGTGTACGTATCTTTATGCGAGTGAGGGCCCTGCACACAGTCTTCTGGGTGCTGAAACCATCACCACTCTCCCGTGATACCCACCCACCCCAAGTTGCCGCAAGAGTCGTACTGCACGGACGATGAGGTCGGTGCGGTCTTCTGGGTGCTGAAACCATCACCACTCTCCCGTGATACCCACCCTCCCCAAGTTGCCGCAAGAGTCATATTGCACGGACGATGAGGTCGGTGGGGGGCGTGGGTGCTGGCAGACGTGCACCACGAGGAGGGGGTCAGGAAGTCCACAGGCGAGTGCAGGCGAGGGCGACAGCCCCCAGGCAATGGTCGCCACACCAAGCTTCGGGGCGGTGCCGCGTGATGAAAGAATGAGTGTGTTGGTTTGTTGTGTGTTGACTGTTGAAATCCTAGCAAAAAAACAAAACATCACCAGGATGCAACAGCCCCAAATATGAGAAACTCATTCAAAGAAAACTGACGGGTTCGTTCAAGGTTTGGTCGTTCCGTCGTTCCAAATAAGGAAATTTGCCTACTAGACTATAGTCTACTGCTGTAATAACGAAGTTGACTTGCAAACCCGTTCTGTACGCCATGTATGTTTAGCTCCACTTGCAACTGCAGCACAACGAACGAACATCATCCCATCATCTCCACTACAACATGGATTGTGCGTTGTTCGATCAAAACTTCAGGTAGTATCCGCAACATGTATTTTCTCAGGCGGTCCTGACGGACTCTCGCCAGCAAGATGGAAGCGAGATTTTCATGCTTGCTTCTGGTGCTTCCAGGCAACAATTTCTGGTGAGTCAGACCGAACGAAGCAACAGCACAGCCAGCTTCACACACACACACAATATAATAATAGCCTTGGTAGACGCGTCCAGTTTTCTTCTGTTGCTGCCGTTTCTGTCTTTGATCCGAAGGATAGTTTAGCCTCCCCCATGCTGCCCCCTCACGGGGTCCCAGTTCATGGCAGATAGACAGAAGTGTGTTGTATTTTCAGACGATTTTTCATTGGTCAGGCCGGTTAGCGCGATCGATGCTAATAATATTAATAAACACACACATACACACCGTTCCTCGACATGATGGGGGGAAACTCCTGTTCACAGCGGGTGGCGTTGGCGTGGGGCACAGGCATCAACGGCGGACTCAAGTACTACGTAGTATACCCGGAACACACGGCGCGGGAATGACAAAGCTTTTTGACAACGTGTGGCTCGACACAAAGAGACTGACTATCTGGCGGAGTGGATGGTGTTGTTATCCTTACATCATCACTTCCACGATGAAGGAACATATCATCTTTATTGCCGATTCCCTCGACATGATGTCGGCATCCATCCATCTCCTTGTCCAGAGCAAATCAGTTTTTGTTTTGTTGTTGTTGTCTTCACTTCAAATCAGCGCTCACAGCACTATTGACGTATCAACAGCGAAACGGCAGAAAACGGACAACAACATGGCACCCATTTATGTCGTAGTCTTATCGTGTAGACCTTAAATGTTTCGTTCTATGCAAATGCAGCACTTGTCACCTGTTAAATGTATCGACTAAAACCAAGAGTCTCCAACAGAAGGGTAGGGATAACGACCTTCAGTAGCTTTCGAAGCGCGCGTAACTTCCGAGTTGTTTCACACATACATCCTTACACCTCTTACGGTATCAACTCGTATTTCGTTGACAATACATTCCTCCGGGATATGTGATCAAGATAAATAAGTTGATTATCCCTTTGGTGCAGCGTGGAAAGCCCGTCTGTCCGAAAAATTGTGATTGAACGTGTCCGATTCGATAAAAAAACTATTGATAGGGCCGCTCTTTTTTTGACCATGGTGTACATTTTCTTCAGTTCCACTCATTCCTGCGTTGGACCCCGCCGCATATGAAATAAAAACCTTCCCTGTCATTTAGCTGTGATATTGGAGTGAGCGTTTCCTCCCTCATGGTTCATCACCTCTCCAGCGTATCACTCTTCAAATGAATATCGGTTCTCCTCCCTCCTCCCTCTTTCCGTTACCGCCTGTGCTTGTAAAGGTCATCAACCTTCTCACCAAGGCGCTCTCGCCAGACCCGACGAAGCGACCTCCCATGTCCGAGATACTCGCCGTGAACGACATGAACGAGTGCCTGCTCGAGATCGAGACCCGGGGAGTCATCTCGGCGGCGACGGTGTCAGCGGTGGCTGGGGGTGGACCGTCCCGAACGGCCAGCACGGACGCCGGAGAGGCTGGCGTCACCGACGACCACGGAGCGCCCCACCCGCCGCTGCCGGTGCCCGATACCCTAGACGCGGTGTCTGGAGCTTTGGAAGGACGCGGGAGCGCAGTTCCAGACCAGGTCGCGGCCGTTGCAGGGGTATATAACATCATCATCCCGGCGGTCATCCCGGCGGTGGCGGTGGGCCCCGTTGTTTCGAGGGAAACAGCTGACGGTAGTGCTGCTGCTAAGGAGGAGGAGGGAGGAGGAGGCGGACGTTCAGCTCTTGCTCCATCGGCGGCGCCAGCCACCGACGGCCCGTGGTCGACGGCATCCCGACCCTTCCCGGGAGGTTCCGTTCCCGTATTTAGAGTTGTTTCTGGAGGATTGTCGTCCCACGACGGTCCCAGCGGGGGTGGTCACCATGTCGTGCCGGTCGCAAGCACCGCATCGGTTGTCCGGTTGCCAGTGTTTGTCGGAGTTGTTACCGGGGGATCTGCGGCGGTGATGCCGGGGTCTGCCGATGCGGGAGGAGGGGTGGCGGCGACGTCGGTGGTGGGAGTGGGAGGAGGAAGAGGAGTGGTGGACAGCCAAAACGCCTCCTGCAGTATCCGGCGAGGCTAAGGTCACCGCGCACTGACGATGTAACGGCGGCAGATCGAGTGGGAAGGGCAAACGGGAGCACAAGGACAGTGTGTGGGTGCCGCGGGCGTTGGCGGTGAACGATGCCGCTCCCTATGTCGTTGAAGGAGGTGACGGAAGGGGGCTTCGCACGTCGCACCACAGCAACCGACTCCCTGCGGGTCCTGCGCCGAGGAGGTCCACCACCAGGAGGAACGCGGCCGGTGGTGCAAGAATGGACGCCGGCGGTATCGCCAATTCCCACAGGGCCGCCAGAAATGCACGGGGGGGGTCCCGCCGTTCGCCCACGGACAACGCGTCGCTACAACCGCCACGGTCCTCATGGCCAGGACAGGACGAAGATTGGGGGAACGAGGAAGACAATAATCTGTCGGGCGAGATTGTTCTATGCTGTGGGTTCGCCCGCTAGGTGCAGGTGCACCTCGTCTGTGCACACGAAACAGAGGCCAATGTCTCGACTTTTGTCGCACACCACGCCGGGTGTTCGCTGTTGCCAGCGGCCAACGGCTCAATCAATGCTGTGACCATGGGATCCCCCGTTCGGAGGCTTCTTCATGGCGCTATGGTTGATTTTGTTGGCTGAGTGACCGAGCCATGTCTTGGCATCAAAGCAAACGAAAAGAGTTCCAACAGGTGGGACCGATGAATATGCAGCATGGACGTTTCCCAAGATGTGTCCTACGTCAAGGTTTTCGTCATCAATGCGCCGTCGGTAAATTCACCGCCCCAAGAATCAGCGACGACAGCGGAATTTCAGTCCCCTCGGGGACAGAGCAAGCAGGATATTCTTCAAGAATCCCACTTGAAAATATCCAAGTAAGAGACAGGAGAGAGATCAACAACAGCCGCGGGCCAATAGATTTCTTCCAACCATTCGTCACAACACCGTTACAATCCTGGAAGGTCGACGAGGGAGGCACAAAACCCCATAATGTGTCAAACTGCACCTTGAATTGAGACACACGCAAACATCATCGCCACCACGTCAAATATCATCTACTGCTTTGCCCCGGGAAACGAGATTGAACCATCAGCCGGCGACTCGCCGTTAGTGCATCCAACGCGGACGGAGCGAAACACATCGCAGACGGACGGGTCCAAGCTACAGAGAGCCACCACCCGCCATTTCCAACCAAGTCCGCCCTGACCGCAACCACACAACATCCTCTCTTGCAAGCTTCAGTTTACTCCCTTGAGATCATCAGCACCAGGGTACAGCCCGTCCTTAAAACCCTCAACATGGCAATGCTCTCGACCCCCCCCCCCCCCACCCCCTGCCCCAATCGATCGGAGAAACCCCGCGTCATCTATCAAGTTAAAATCCTAGCCCGCCCATAGCCTCCCCCTGCTCCTTGCTGAACATCTCGTAATACTGGTAGATGATGGTCACCGCCAGCAGGATCCCGGTGCCGGAACCGATCGCCCCCAAGAAATCCGCCGCCACGGTCAGCGCCCCGATGCACATGCCGCCGAACGCCGCCGCGGTAGGGATGTAACGCTCGAGTACCTGTTTTGTTCCCCATCGTTTTTTTTCGTTCCCGAACCAAACCATTTGCACAAGCAGTGCACCCCATGGTTGTTTTTGGCCAGAACGAGAGACGGGCGGGGACACCCAACGTGCGGTGACAAACAGGGGGGCAGACGGCCGGAGGCGGGGGGGGGGGGGGGGGGGAACCCAAAAGGGGGAAGGTAAAAGGGGGGGTTTCCGTAAAATTTCGGAAAAGGAACCCGAAGGAAAAAAATTTTTGGTTTCCAACCCAAGGCCGTTCCAATTTTTTCTCCTGAATAGCGAAAGGGGGGGGGTTCCAAAAAAAACCTTTCCGCAAAAAAAACCCCTACTACTTTTTAATTTCAAAACCTTTAAAAAAAAATGGGGGAAAAAACAAAGGGGGGCCCTCCCCCAATCTCCTGGGGCCCCCGGGAAACCCCTACCACTAACAAAAATATCCCTTCCCCCGAAAAAAAAACGGGGAAGAACTCCGTTTTGTCCCCATCCATCCCCTTCCCCCCCCCTGCAAAAAAAAGTTTCTTCTGAAACCCCCAACCCCTAAAAAAAGCATTTCCTTTGTAAAAGGAACGCCTGGGCCCTTCCCCCCCCTGTTCCCCATCCCCGCAAAATCCTCTAAATAACCCCGAAAAGG